AATTAAAGAAAAAAGAAAACCCATTTTGTCCTTTTTTTTTTTTTTTTTTTTTTGGAGATGGAGTCTTGCTCTTGCGCCCTGGCTGGAGTTCAATGGCGAGATCTTGCCTCACTGCAACCTCCTCTTCCCAGGTTCAAGTGATTCTCCTGCCTCAGCCTCCCGAGTAGCTGGGATTACAGTCACCTGCCACCATGCCCAGCTAATTTTTGTATTTTTAGTAGACACGGGGTTTCGCCATGTTGGCAAGGCTGATCTCAAACTCCTGACCTCAGGTGATCCACCCACCCTCCTTGGCCTCCGAAAGTGCTGGGATTACAGGCGTGAGCCACCACACCTGGTCTATTCTGTCCTTTTAACAGAGAAATTCAAATTCTAGTTTTGAATCAGTTCACTCTCAATATTTAGGCTTATTTTTAAAAGTCATATAATAAATTAATTCCATTTAGTCAACTTGAGCACGTATGATTCTCTCTTGTTTCTCCTCTTTCAACTTTTTCTTTCTGCTGTGGTTTGCATGTGTTCCCCCGCCCCCACCAAGTTTGTGTGTTGGAAACTTAATTCCAAATGCAACAGCGTGGGGAGGTGGGACCTTGAAGAGATGATTATATCAAAAGGGTACTTCCCACATGAATGGATTAATATATTATTGTGGGAGTGGGTTCGTTATTGCAGAAGAAGATTTGTTATAAAAGTGAGTTTGGCCCCTCTTGCACGCTTCCCCTTCCTCCCATGCATGCCCCCCGTCCCTCTACCTTTCACCACGTGATGAGGCCACAAAAAGGCCCTCGACAAATATGGGCCCCTTGACCTTGGACTTCCAAGCCTCCAGAGCAGTGAAAACTAAATCTCCATATTTAACTAAATCGCCCAGACTTGGGTGTTCCATTATAGTAGCACAAAACAGACTAAGACAATATCCATTCCATTTTATCTGTTATTTATTGATTCTTTCTGAAACAGCCTTTGAATAACTTCCACACTGGATCTTAGCCAAAAGGCCGAGAAGCAATAACCTTTGAATAACTTCCAAACTAGAACAATATTTTTTTTTTATTTTAACAAAAACCCATCTTTTCGGTCTCATAGTTTTTTGTTTGTTTTTGCTTTTTTTGACAGAGCCTCACTTCGTCCCACAGGCTGGAGTGCAGTTGTACAATATTGGCTCACTGCAACCTCCACCTCCTGGGTTCAAGCAATTCTCCCATCCCACCCTCCCGAGTAGCTGGGATTACAGATACCCACCTCCATTTCTGGCTAATTTTTGTATTTTTAGTACAGACATGGTTTCAACATGTTGGCCAGGCTGGTCTCGAACTCCTGAGCTCAGGTGATCCACTGCCTCAGCTTCCCAAAGTGCTGCAATTACAGGCATGAGCCACTGCACCCAGCCGGTGTATTTCACAGATTTCAAAGAAAAAATACGTCTTATTTTTCTGTTATGCTTTGCATAAAATGTCGCTTTTCCTATTACTTTTAGAACTGCTACTTACATTAATTTGGTTAATTTTTTTTTTTTTTTTGAGACAGAGTCTCACTCTGTCACACAGGCTATAGTGCAGTGGTAGTGCAATCTCGGCTCACTGCAGCCTTCGCATCCTGTGGTCAAGCAATTCTTCTGCCTCACCTTTCCAAGTAGCTGGGTTTACAGGCTGATGCGGTCACGTCCAACTAATTTTTGTATTTTTAGTAGAGATGGGTTTCACCATGTTGGCCAGGACGGTCTTGATCTCCTGACCTCATGATCTGCACATCTTGGCCTCCCAAAGTGCTGGGATTACAGGTGTGAGTTACGTCGTCCAGCCAATTTGGTTAAGTAAGAATTGTTAACTCTTAGTGACTTTAATTTCTAGTGAACACTAGAGAACTAGAAAATGTGCAATCATGAACTGTTTTCTTCCAAGTTTGCAAGTACTCGATTTCATAATTACTAGAAACAAGATTCCTAGAACAATTGGAACGTTGTCCTATGACACCATATGGGAAATGGCAGAGGAAATGTTTAATAGGCCCCAAATACCTTTTTTTCTCCTGTAATAGGTAGCCAAAGTTAATAAGTTCTAAATTTATGTTCAGCAATAAATATTTCAGTATCATATTAATATTTAGAAATGATCTAGAAATTCAATACATATTGCTATGGCTTGAATATTTTCCTGCTCTGAAAATCATATTAAAACTAAATCCCCACTGAACAGTACTAAGAGGTAGGAGCTATCAGATATGATTTCATTATGAGGGACCTGCCCTCATGGACAGATTAATCCTTCACAGATTAATGCGTTGTCATGGATGTGGAGTAGTTATAATTTATGTGTGATAGAGTTTGGATCTGTGTGTTGAATTGCAATCCCAAGTGCTGGAGGTAGGGCCTGGTGGGAGGTGACTAGGTGGTGGGAGGTTTCTCACGAATCCTTTACCACCATTGCTTGGTGCTATTCTCCTGATACTGAGTGAGTTGTCCTGGCATCTAGTTTTTTGTTTTTGTTTTTTTTTTTTTGAGACAAAGTCTTGCTCTGTCAACAGGCTGGAGTGGGGCAGTGGCATGATCTTGGCTCACTGCAATCTCCACCTCCCTGGTTCAAGCGATTCCCCTGCCTCAGTCTCCCAGGTAGCTGAGACTATAGGTGCACACCACCACACCCCGCTACCTTTTTGTATTTCAGTAGAGATGGGGTTTCACCACGTTGACCAGGATGGTCTTGATCTCCCGATCTCATGATCCGCCTGCCTCGGCCTCCCAAAGTGCTGGGATTACAGGCATGAGCCACCAAGCCCGGATATCGTTGTTTAAAAGTGTTTGGCAGCTCCTTATCTCTCTACCTCCTGCTGTGGCCATGTGAGACAGCTCACTCCCCCTTTTCCTTCTGCCAGTAATCGGAGGCTTCTTGAGGCCTCCTTGAAGCAGAAGCTGCTGGGCTTCTGTACAGCTTGCAGAACCATGAGCTAATTAACTGTCATTTCTTTATGAAGTACTCAGGCTCAGGTATTTCTTTATAGCAATACAGACTAATACAGTGTGGCTCTCTTATAAAAGCCTGTTTGTTTCTTAGTGTGTCCCCTCGCCATATAATGCCCTGCACCAACTTGAGACTCTGCAGAGACCCTGCATTAGTCTGTTCTCATATTGCTATAAATTATTAACTGACACTGGGTGACTTATAAAGAAAAGAGGTTTATTTGGCTCACAGGTCCACAAGCTGTACAGGAAGCATGAGGCTGGCATCTGCTTGGCTTCTGGGATGGCCTCAGGAAAGTCACAATCACAGCAGAAGGCAAAGGGAGACACAGCACTTCACATGGCCAGAGCAGGAGGGAGAGAGAGTGGGGAGATGCCACACATTTTTTAACAACAAGATCTCATCAGAACTCATTCACTGCGACAAGGACAGTCCCAAGAAGAATGGTGTTTAACTGCCCTCATGATCCAGTCACCTCTACCAGGCCCACCGCCAACACTGGGGACTACAATTCAGCATGAGACTTTTGTGGGGCCACAGACCCAAACCATGTCAGACCCCATCAGCAAGAAGGCCCTCCCTACATTTGGCCCTTTGTCCTCGGACTTCCGAGCCCCACAAAACAATACACGAATTTATATTCCTTAGAAATTACCCACTCCCCACTCTGAGGTATTCACGTATAGCAATAAAAAATAGACTAATACAAATAACCGTCATTTAACTTAGATTTTTAAGTTACGGAATATTAGATATAAAACATTCTTAAAAATATACATCTTATAAACATCCTATCAAAAAGATACATCACATAACACATAAAAAGCACAAAAATATTTTAAAAATATAAAAAACCACATTGAAAATACGTGGTTCTTTTCAAGTCTCTTTTTCCTTCTCGCGTTTCATATACATCAGGAAATTTATCTTTTCCTTGTACATTTTGTTCCTTAGTTGAATGTACAGTTTTATGATCGTAAACACACATTAAGTGTTTTGATTAGTAAATCCAGGTAGAAGTTGTACGTGTGCACTGTAAATGTTGACAACTCTAAAGATTTGCCTGTTTAATTAAATCAAAAAACTTAAACTACCTTTTTATTTACTAATGATTATCTCAGATAAGATGAACTTGAAAAACATTTAGGTAAGCTCTCATTTTTCTAAGAAAATGCTTCATTTATGGGAGCAATTTTCTTCCTTAGATAAATCTTTGCATAGGTACCAAATAACACATTTGTTTAGGATGAGAGCTTCCCCCTCCCAAAAAAGTATTTTTTATACAGAAACGTCCAAATCTCCAAATGTACATGTACTTCAATTGTGACTTGAACTCAAGGTAAACACATAATTAATAAATTAACCTTAGCTTACTCGATGGCCACCGTCTTATATGCTGTTCCCTTGACTGAAATGTTATGAGGCAAACGACTGTACATGAGATGGGACTTACTAGAGGAATTAATGCATGTGATAAGGAACTTGAGAAGTTCCACGACAGCCCATCTGCACAGTAGAGACCTTGGAATGCTGGAAGCAAGGCTCAATTTAGTCTAAAAGCCTGAGACCCAAGGAAGCCAATGGTATAATTCTCAGGTCAAGGCCAAAGTTCTCAGAACCTCAGGTGGGCGGGGGGGGGGTGGGTAGGCCATTGGTGTAAGCCCTGGAGTCCAAGGGGTAGAGATCCTGGAGTTCTGATGTCCACAGGCAGAAGAAGAAGTGTCCCAGCTCCAGGAGATCAGATGGATTTGCTTTTCCTTTTTTTTCCTTCTGAGATGGAGTCTCAATCTGTCACCCAGTCTGGAATGCAGTGGTGCAATCTCGGCTCACTGCAACCTCCACTCCCGGGTCTCAAGCAATTCTCCTGCCTCAGCCTCCTGAGGAGCTGGGATTGCAGGTGCAGGCCACCATACCTGGCTAATTTTTGGTTTTGTTTTTGTAGAGATGGGGTTTCACCATGTTGTCCAGGCTGGTCTTGAATTCCTGACCTAAAGTGATCTACCCCCCTTAGCCCCCTAAAGTGCTGGGATTACAGGCGTGAGCCACTGCACCGAGCTAAGTATTTATTTTAAATAAACGTTTAAATAACCTAATAAGTATTAACACCTAAGAGGAAACCTCTAGTAAAAAGAGACTTTTTTCCGAGACATGGGCAGCACCCGTGCCATCTTCCTGGTAGATGAACTTTCCAGAGTTCACGAGGAGGTCCTCAATCCTCTCCTTTGCATGTCTCTCTCCCATCATCTCCAAAGCATTCAGCAGGGTGTGGATAGAGGCGTTCCGCCCAGTTTTGTTGACCCATTTCGTCAGCATTACATACAAGGCATCACTTGGTCCTGCTGCCTCAGCTCTGGCCACGCAGATCTCATTTTCCGCGAGGCCCAGCAGCCTCATGAGCTGGTCCCAGGAGTTAAAGGACACGTGGTCTGTAAAGTAGTGGAAGCACTGCCTCAGAGCTGGGTGGAAAAAGCCACAGAGACAGCCAGGTGAGCTGGGACTCGGAAAGGACAGAGGATCCCACATCGTGCCCAGAACCCAAGAAGAGAACTTGGAGAGCCCCCTGCATGGGCAAACCTGTTGCTCCATTATCCCCTTCCTCCCATCCACAGAGGGCCGACTCACACTGCCCGGCCTCCCTGGCACCCAAGGCGCAGAGAGGCATCAACGTCACCAGAGAATCTGTCCTGAGGGAGGGCTGAGAATCCACCTGGGGAGGATTGATGGATGCTACAGAGGCAGAAAGCAAAGTGGATGAGAGCCCGAGGGAGGGAGAGAGCGTGGCTGCAGCGGGAGCTCAGATGAGGGAGGCTGCTTGGGCTGCACTTGCCATGGGAGCAGGTCCCAGGGCGACCACTTCTGCATTTGTGGAAAGCGCAGGGTCTGGGGCAGGGGACCTCTGTATACACCCAGCTCAGTCTCATTCCCTGAGGCTGGGGCAGAGCTAGGTGGGGGCAAGCAGACCCTGAGCAAGAAACAAACCTGAAGACAGAGCAACCCTGCCCACATCTCAGGACTACCAGGGATTAAATGGAATGAGATGTGTTTGCACACCACCATCCACAGGGATGGAAGAGACCAGGAATACCAGGCTGTTTTCTAACAGCCTCATTTAAAGAACCTAAAAAGAAGTGACATTTATTTTAATGTATGGTATAATTATATGTAAAATATAATTTAATATGCAATCAATATACAAAAACTGAAACCCAATTGTCCCATAGAAAGGTATTTTTGTTTGTTTTTTATTTTTTTGATAAACAGAGATTGACCCTTCTGGTCTTTAACTGCTTGAAACTTTTATTTATTTTATCTGAGTTACTTCCTCAGGAAAGACCTTCAGGCCTCTCAAAAAAAGTGTCAAAGAACTGAAACTCACCAGATGACTACATCCAGACAGTGATAGGATGAGGGACCCCTCATTCATCTTGATTGTTTCCTTCCTGCATCCTAGCTCCTACTTCTTATACCTTGTTACATTTCTTGCCTGCTACATAAACCCCTAGTTTTAGTGGGTCAGGGAGATGGATTTGAGACTGAGCTCCCATCTCCTCTGCTGCAGCACCTGTTAAAGTGGTCTTGGCAACACTCATCATCTCAATGACTGGCTTTCTGTGCAGCGAGCAGCAAGACCTAGACTAAACCCCTGGTGTTTTGGTAACAGATTTTGGTTCCCTAACTAGGGAAGTGTTATTCATGGCTCTACTGCCATGGCCAAGGAGTCTCAGAAGCCCCCCTAAGCAGTTGCCGCCCTAATTTTGGCTGGACGTGAGTTTCAGTCTCTCTGTGGTTCCACTGCAGCTGGCCCCAACCACATTCCTGATTACCCCAGAAGAACTACCTTTGAAATTTGACATTTGCATCTGGATAGGTGATTGTGCTTTGTGGGCTCAGACACAGGTTCTGCTTTTCTCAATTTGGGAAATTTTTAAAGGAATTTTCATTTGCAGGTTGAACAGGCCCAAGTGACTGTGAGAAGGAAGCACCCTGACTCAGTTTGAATACTCTTGGGGGTTTGTTTGTAATTGTGTGTCGTGTTGGGGAAAGTGAGTGTCTTTCGTGGGTACCAGACAGCAGGACTGGTTCCTCTGGATTTCAGAAATTTGAAAGAAATTTTTGGCTGGGCGCGGTGGCTCATGCCTGTAATCCCAGCACTTTGGGAGGCCAAGGCAGGTGGATCACGAGGTCAAGAGATTGAGACCATCCTGGCCAACATGGTGAAACCCCGTCTCTACTAAAAATACAAAAATTAGCTGGGCATGGTGACGTGCACTTGTAGTCCCAGCTACTCGGGAGGGTGAGGCAGGAGAATCACTTGAACGCAGGAGGCAGAGGTTGCAGTGAGCCGAGATCTTGCCACTGCACTCCAGCCTGAGCAAGACTCCATCTCAAAAAAAAAAAAAGAAAGAAAGAAAGAAAGAAAATTTTGTTGGCAGATTGATCAAGCCCAACCAATGAGGAGAGGAAGCACCCTGACCATTTCAGTTTGGATACTCCTAGGACTGGTCTGGTGTTGCAGCAGTTGGATTGTGTTTTGGGGATTACCCGTATGTGTTTGGTAGAGTCGTCGGAAATTAGAATCCAGTAAACTTGGTATTATTGTTAATACTGTTTGGCCCCCAAATTGGAAACTGGAGTTTGCTGCTGAATGAGAAAGTGGGAAGGAGTTCCCTGTATTGAGGCTCTTACATTGCTGTTCTAGGCAGGTTGGGCCAGGTTAGTTGTTTCTAGGTGGTGTTCTCTGTAATGCTGTTTGACCCCAGTGTTCTTTGGAGTCTGAAGAGGTTTGACCCTTAAAAACCAAACTGCCATGGCAACTGCTTTACCTAAAATTTTGGTTCACACCTTCACTGTATTACCTATGGGGACTAACAAAGTTCAGCCATGTGAACGTATTTGTAGACTGGTAAGTTTATATTGCTCTCTCATGGCCAGAGTTCAAAGGTAAAAGCTACTGGGTCTTTGTGTGTTGTGTGAATAGGTCTAGATGTGTTTATGTGTATGTACATTTATACCATTATTATCATTATTTGCGACGGAGTCTTGCTGTTGCCCAGGCTGGAGTGCAGTTGCAGTATCTCAGCTCACTGAAACCTCTACCTCCTGGGTTTGAGCGATTCTCCTGCCTTAGCCTCCTGAGTAGCTGGGATTACAGGCATGTACCACCACACCTGGCTAATTTTTGTATTTTTAGTACAGACGGGGTTTCATCAGGTTGGTTAGGCTGATCTCGAACTCCTGACCTTGTGATCCGCCTGCCTCAGCCTTCCCCAAAGTGCTGGGATTATAGGTGTGAGCCACCATGCCCAGCCTTTACATTTATTATCATTAAATTACATGTTGTGTCTGCCAAATTGACTCATAGGTAAAAGAGTGCTTGTAAATTAAGTCAGTCAGTCCAAGCAATTTTCAAGTTCATGTGACTTAAGGTAAATCCTTACTAAACAAGCTGGCTTTAAAAGTATTGGTGTAAAAAAAAAAAAAAAGTGTCTTCAGAACTGTCAGCATACCTTTTTTCCTGGGTTTTATATTTGTCTCTGCTAGATATTTTGAGGTATCAGTTTGGCACAAAAAAATTGTAAGACTTTAAATCCAACCAAAACCAAATGATCTTTGAGTCACTTTTTGGCCGAGTATTTTAATGAACAGTTGAATCTTCTGAGTTATTGGTGAAAATACCTATATATTTAACTTTGAAGCTCTTAAGTGAGCACCTAATGGTCACTGGCTATTAAAAAAATGATTGGCAGGGCGTGGTGGGTCACGCCTCTAATCCCTGAACTTTGGAAGGTTGATCACAAGGTCAGGAGTTTGAGTCCTGCCTGGCCAAGATGGTGAGACCCTGTCTCTACTAAAAATACAAAAATTAGCTGGGTGTGGTGGCAGGTACCCATAATCCCAGTACTTGGGAGGCTGAGGCAGGAGAATCTCATGAACCTAGGAGGCGGAGGTTATAGGGTTACAGTGAGCCTAAGATCGTGTCACTGCACTCCAGCCTGGGTGACAACAAGACTCTGTCTCAAAAAAAAAAAGGTTGACAAGGAAATAACTAACTTTAAATGATGGTGTATAATATCTCAATTTTCAGAAGCAATCTGGATAAACTTAATGAAAGAACTGAGTAAATGTAAATGGAATACATGTTTTAAGTAAACTTTTCACATAACTAAAAATCTTAAAATTACTTTTGATGTTCATCATTGGGTATCTGAGTCATTTCCAATTATGAAAGTTATAAATACAAGGAAATACGTTTCTAAAAATTGTGGAACTGTTTTCTTTTCTTTTCTTTCTTTCTTTTTTTTTTTTTTTTTTTTTTGAGGTGGAGTCTCCCTCTGTCACCCAGGCTGGAGTTCACAGGTACACGCTTGGCTCACTGCAACCTCCACTTCCTGGGTTCAAGCGATTCTCCTGTCTCAGCCTCCCAAGCAGCTGGGATTACAAGCTTGTGCCACCACACTCAGCTAATTTTTGTATTTTCTGTAAAGACAGGGTTTCACCATCTTGGTCAGGTTGGTCTTGAACTCCTGGCCTCAGGTAAGCCACCGCACTCAGCCAGAATGGTTTTCATCTATAAAATGTTAATATGTGATTTCAATGCTAATATGCTAATATCAAGATTTCTTGCTTTCTAGGGTTTCAGTAAAATTTAAGCTTACTACAAATGAAAATTATAGTTAACATGCAACTGTGTGTATAAAACGGGCCAAAAAAGATGGGTTATTAGTGAGAAAAAGAATAATTTTGCCTAATTCAGAAGTTAACTAAAAGTTAATTCAAATTATGGACTTGAAAAAGATGATTTATGAAACAAGGTAATAAGAAACCAGTTTGTAGGGAAGAGAGATGTAAAAAAAAATTATAAATATGAAGATGTATTTTTGGTAAAGAAAGTTACCCAGAAAAGATAATAATTTTGTATGAGAAAAGATCTTGTACAGTAATTTTTTCATCCTGGAGTAAAATGACTGGTTATTTAAAGAAGAGAAAGAGGACAAGAAAAAAATCTGGGACTGCATGGAAAGCCCAGGCATGTCACAGATAGTCTGTGTAAATTACATGTAGTTTTTTTCTGTTTCTCTGTGTGTCTCTTTTCATGCACATACAGAGAAATAGAAAGCTGAAAAAGTTAGATAATAAAATATTCTTTAAAACCTGATAGAAGATTGGAGAAATTTAGCTAATTAACATTTTTATAGTTAAAGCTCTTAGTCTTGATAAAGATAAAACAAGAAATACTGTAAAGAAATGCATTGGCAGTTTGGCTTTTTTTTTTTTTTTTTTTTTTTTGAGATGGAGTCTTGCTCTGTCTACAGGCTGGAGTGCAGTGGCACAGTCCTGGCTCACTGCAACCTCCGCCTCCTGGGTTCAAGTGATTCTCCTGCCTCAGCCTCCTGAGTAGCTGGGACTACAGGCATGTGCCCAGCTAATTTTTTTGTATTTTTCGTAGAAACGGTGTTTCACCATGTTGGCCAGGATGGTCTCAATCTCTTGACCTTGTGATCTGCCCACCCTGGCCTCCTCAAGTGTTGGGATTACAGGCATGAACCACTGCAGCCCTGCTACAATTCTTTTTTTAATATAGTTAAGCATGAAGCCAGATTTAGTGTAGAGCCAAACATTTTGCATACCTGTTTGCATTGCTCCACACTATATTTGCTATTTTGCATAGATAGCGCTAGGACTCAAGTGCTTACTGGCCACGTGTAAAGTGAGTTTCATGTTTGCATCGCTTCACACTGTATTTGCTATTTAGCATAGGTAGCACTAGCACTAAAGTACTTTTACTGGTCATGTAAAGTGAGCTTCTTATTACTCACATACATGTTCTCATTGCTTCACACTATCTTTGCTATTTTGCATAGGTAGTACTAGTACTAAAATACTTATTGACCATGTAACTAAAGTGAATTTCTTAATTGCACAAAATATATAATGATATTGGTGGACTTAAAAATAATAAATTGTGTATCAGGAATCAAATATCCATCATGTAGGTTTTCTAAGGCTCTGGAAAACAGTGTAGCCTACAAGGTAAACTGAGTAGCAGAAAAATTTGGGGTTGGTGTTGTGTTCATTTTTGCTTCTAATTTTCATTTATTTGCTGTTTGTTCTCCTTTGGGTTTTACTTACCTCTCTCTCTCTCTCTCTCTCTCTCTCTCTCTCTCTCTCTTCATATATGCATATAGTATATAAAACCATTGATATTTTAGTTTCTAATGGAAGACTTTTTCTGGTTCTATAAACAGTCACTTTGTTTCCTAAGCATTTCCAACATTTCATTCTTTGCTCTATTTATCTAGAGTTCCTAAGCTACATTTGTCCAGCTTTCAAAAATTGATAGAGGATACCAGCCATTTAAATTTTGGTTGGTTTTCCTTACCTCTGAGGATAGAGAGAGAGAGCTACAAGAGATTTAAGGTTCTGGCAAAAAATAAAAATAAAAGACTTATTTTTACAAGTTCTGAGCAGAAATAGTACATTATGTATTTTGCTATTTGGAAAAGTAGGTGAGAGCAGAAATGTTTAAATGCTGTTTATTTCCAAGGTAATTCAATTTGGTCAATAATTTGAATTGATGGTGGATGTCCAAGAGATACATATTAGACTTATTAGTTATTCTAGAATTATGCAGGAAGCACTGTCACATCTGAGGTGATGTTTAGCTTCCTTTGGGTTATGCGTACAGAGAAACGTTAATATGTGTTCCAAGATTCTACAACATTCCTGAAATTCTGAGTTGTCTTAATATATATTATCAGTAATAATTATCATGTTAAATCATTGTATGTCACAGAAATAACCAAACTCCCTGGTCTATTGTGTCTTTGACTATGGCTGTCCTAAGATTTGATCATCCACAATTGATGTTTTTCTTTGATCCATCTAAAAAAAAAAAGGTGACTTCTAATCAGCTACAGTCCAGGGCTTGCTTTTATAGGGGAGTTCATGAAAATGACTCTTGAATGAAGAGTTCCTGATATCTGTGGAGATTGTTGTCATTGGATTACAGAGAAAACTTCTAGTGCAGTCATTGAAAGACCCATGTGTGCCCAGGCACAGTGGCTCATGTCTGTAATCCCAGCACCTTGGGAGGCCAAGGCAGGCGAATCACTTGAGGCCAGGAGTTTGAGACCAGCCTGGCGAACAGGGCAAAACTGTCTCTACTAAAAATATAAAAAGTACCAAGGTGTGGTGGCACACACCTGTGGTCCCAGCTACTCAGGAGACTGAGGTGTGATAATTTCTAGATCCCAGGAGGTGGAGGTTGCAGTGAGGTGACATCACGCCACTGCAGTCCAGCTTGGGTGACAGAGTGAGACTCCATCTCAAAAAAAAAAAAAACAGACTGATGCGTTCATAAAGATTGTGATTGTTAACCAAACATGAAGCAGGGCAGGAGTTGATTTCGAAGACTGAACTAATAGTGGACTGAAATAATTTTTATGGCTTTAAGTATACTTTAAGTATCTTGATTACTTTTGTAAGCAGAATTTGAGGCATGTTTCTCTCTCTGCCTAATTTCCCCAGAATTTGTAAACTATTTGTGACTATTAATCTACGGCAATGTGTTTGTTTGTATATGGTCGATAACAAAATGTTTTCTTTTACAATGGAACACAGTTGGAGAAAATGGTTATTTTCCAAGAACTTTGATTGCAAAGGCCTTGTGAGAGGTTCCAATAAAGCCAGCTTGGGAGAGCCTATGTGGACAGTGAGTTTTGCTGTACTTGGTGTGGGTAAACAGGCCATGTGTATGGAACTAACTTACTTTGCAGGTACATGGGTCCCACTATAATTTGTCTTTGGAGGAAGTGGGGCCGAGAGAGAGAGAGAGAGACTGAGTTCCAGAAGAAACATAGTCTTCTAGTATTAGATTAACCTTTGATTCCTGGGTCATCCACAATATGAAGCTTCCCACAATGCCCCTCTTCAGCCATGAAGCAGCCAGAAAGATCCAGGACCAGATTCCCCATGACTGGGGGATTAATAAATAGCAAGGGAGAATTGAAATCAACCCAATAGTTCCATCAAAAGGGTTTTTGTTTGTTTGTTTTTTAAATAAACATAGAAATTGACCTTTTTGTTCTTAAAGCTCAAATCTTACATTTGTTTTATCTGAGTTCCTTTTTCAGGAAATGATCATCAGGCCTCTCAAAAAAATTATCAAAGAACGGAAACTCACCAGATCACTACATCCAGTGGGATGCTGGACCCCTCATTCATCTTGATTGCTTCCTTGCCCCCTCCCTAGTTCCTGTTTTCTTACACATTGTTACATTTTATCCCTATTCTATAAACCCTTAGTTTTAGTCAGTTGTGGACATGGATTTGAGACTGAGCTCTCCTCTCCTTGGCTGCAGCACCCAATTAAAGCCTTCTTCCTTGTCAATACTTGTCTTAGTGATTGGCTTTCTGAGCACCAAGACCTAGACCCAACCTCTGGTGTTTCACTAACAAAATAATGAGTGAAATATTTTCCACTCTTTCTTGCATTAAGTCTTTGGCATTGGCATATTGTTTACACAACAGTGCTGCAAATTGGGCTTAGGCACAGATCAAGAGCTCATTAGCCCACTGAAGTCAGTGGTGCCATGCAGGAGAGGACAGCCCCTCAAGAGGTCCTGAACAGCAAAGGAGAAGAGAGGAGGTGGATGAGGGGATGGACAAAGTGGTTAGTGCTGTAAATAGGGTGCAGAGAGGATCAGCTAGAGTGAGGAAGAGCTGGGAGAAGATAATTTAGGGTCTTGATGGTCTATAACATAGAACCCCCGGTTTCTGGCATGGATTGCTCTGGAAGAGCACTCTCTGCAATTGGGACACCAGTTAGAACACTGTCCTTATTCCCTCCATTCCTGCTGCATCTCCAGAAGCAAAACACTTACTCTCAGTGGGGTCAGCGCCATTTGGTAGAACCAGCAACCTTGTCCTCTGAGACCCTTTGTCTTCTGCTGGTCTCTGTAACATACGGTGGGGAACGCCTTAGTCTGGGTCAGGAGTCCTGCAGTCTAGTACTGACCCTGACCACCAGCCAGTCCTGAGACCTGCAGCATGTCACTTTCCCTCTTGGGTCACCATGGAGATGGAAAAAAACCTTCTGGTCCCCCAGAGCTCATAGCCACTCTCCATTGCAGGCATTACCACCTCAGTTCCACTCCCTGTCAGATCAGCAGTGGCATCAGATTCTTATGGGAACATGAACCCTATTGTGAACTGTGCATGTAAGGGGTCAGGTCACATGCTCCTTATGAGAATCTTATAGCTGATATGTCACTGTCTCCCATCACCCTCAGATGGGACCATCTAGTTGCAGAAAAAGAAAAAAAAAAAAACAAGTTTAGGGCTCCCACTGACTCTACAGTATAAAAAATTATACAATTATTTCATTACATATTACAAGGTAATCAGAATAAAGCGCACGATAAATGCAACGTGCTTCAATCATCCCCAAACCACCTCCACCTCCCAGTCCATAAAAAAATTGTCTTCCAGCCAGGTGCAGTGGCTTACACCTGTAATCCCAGCACTTTGGGAGGCCAAGGCAGGCGGATCAAAAGATCAGATTGAGATCACCCTGGCCAACATGGTGAAACCCCATCTCTACTAAAAATACGAAACAATTAGCTGGGCATGGTGGCGCATGCCTATACTCCCAGCTACTTGGGAGGCTGACGCAGGAGAATTGCTTGAACCTGGGAGGTGCAAGTTACAGTGAGGTGAGATCGCGCCACTGCACTACGGGCAAGCCTCTGTCAGCCTGGACAACAGTGTGAGACCCCAGGAAAAATTGTCTTCCACAAAACTGATCCCTGGTGCCAAAAAGGTTGGGGACCACTGGTGTATAATATAATGTCTTTTTAATACAGATACACTGATGCATAGATTTGGACAAAGAATTACAGGAAATGATTTCTCATAGTTACTTGAGGAAAAAGACCCAGGGCACTGCAGAGGAGTGGAGGATGCTCTCTTCACTGAGTACCTTTCAAGAGTTTAAATTTTCTGTTTTTGTTTTTGTTTTTGTTTTTTTAGATGGAGTCTCGCTTGTTGCTCAGGCTCGAGTGCAATGGCGCAATCTCACCTCACTGCAACTTCTACCTCCCAGGTTCAAGCAATTCTCCTGCTTCAGCCTCTCGAGTAGCTGGGATAACAGGCACACGATGCCATGCCCGGCTAATTTTTTGTATTTTAGTAGAGACGGGGTTTCACTGTGTTGCCCAGGCTGGTTACAAACTCCTGAGCTTAGGTGATCCGCCCGCCTCGGCCTCCCACAGTGCTGGGATCACAGGCGTGAGCCACTGCACCTGGCTGGTAGTTTAAATTTTCTCACTTTAAGTATAGGAACCTTCTCCTGAAAATGTCAAAGCACTTAATCAAGCTGGAGAGATGATTGACCGTTTTAATGTTTGCTTGTTTTTTACATTTTTAGTTAGAATAAATGGATACTAATGCAAGAATGGAACAGCCTAGGTGGAAGGAGATCATTGTCTAGATGAGCATTTAACCTCTGATCAAGGAGGAACCCAAAGCAGAGGGAAATAGGAGAATCAGTGGCTCAGCGGGGTTGGAAAAACCAGACAGTGACTAGAACAATTCAGGAAGTGGCTCGCTTTGCATTAAAACACAAATCAAGTTCCGTTTAGATTATATAGTTAAACGCAAAAATCACATCATTGAAAAAATATCTCCATCAGAAGTTAGAGAAGTTCGTCTTGTGTTGGAGAAAGGTCTTTCTACAGTAATGAGCAATGAAAAAGTAAATATATCTACAGATTTCACTGGTTAAAAATTAAGGCTTCTACATTGGAAAATACTAGAACAAAAAGCGGCAAGAAGTCAGGAATCTATTGTCTGAGTGTGAGAAACAGCACAAGTAGGAGAGCACGCCTTTTCATAAAGACTCTGTAGACAAGACACCGATTTTATGCAAAAACAGTCAAAACAAAGCAGTGTTCATTTAAGGCCAGGCACAGTGGCTCATGTCTGTAACCCCAGCACTTTGGGAGGCCAAGGCAGACGGATCACGAGATCAAGACCATCCTGGCTAACACGATGAAACCCCATCTCTGCTAAAAATACAAAAAATTAGCTGGGTGTGGTGGCATGCACCTGTAGCCCCAGCGACTCAGGAAGCTGAGGCAGGAGAATCGCTTGAACCCAGGAGGTGAAGTTGCAGTGAGCCAAGATCGTGCCACTGCCCTCCAGCCTGGATGACAGAGAGAGACTCCATCTCAAAAAAAAGAAAAGAAATGTTTGTAATATTTTCCTAAATACCAAAAAAAAAAAAAAAAAAACCCTTTGATGTCAGATCCAAATACATGAACTGGTACAGTCCAACACTAGGGGGCTGTGTGCGTGTGTGTACATGCATGCGTGTGTACCTGTGTGTACGTGCATGTGTGTAGATGCATGTGTGTGCCTGTGTGTGTGTGTGTGTGTGTGTGTGTGTGTGTATGCACAGTAAGCAACACTTCTACACGCTGACTTGGAAATCGTGCTTCTTCTTAGAAGTCTCCATACAACCATATTCAGAAATCTGGACAGAGATTTACATTCAAATCTGTTTGATGCAATACTAATTTCAGGGTAAATTTTAAACCCCTGCTGTTATGAGCAAGGGCTCCCTGAGTTCTGTTAGGAGCACACAGTGGAGACCGTGCAGCCCTCATTCAGTCATCAGTGAACCCTGTGACCCCCACTCTGTGCCTGTGGAGCTCCAGGTTCTGAGGACACAGCAAGGATATGACAGGGACTAAGAAGTAGATGTGCTGCAGAGTGGCTGTGCCCTTGTGAGGACGGCTGATTCTTCCCACGCAGCCCCGTTCCCTGCAGTCCCATCTCCCTCAGGTTCCATGTCCCCCTTGGCCAGGAGAACTGAGGCACGGCCCTCGATCTCTGCCTATAAGGTCTTGAAGAGACCCGACCCCCACTCACCAGCAGAGACTGTGCCTCCCCGGGGGACTGTACAATGACATCTGTCAAATCTGCTGGCTCCTGGCTTTCCATTGGCTCCTCAGAAGCGAAAGTGGACAGCGAGTCTGCGTTGTCCAGAATCTCATTGTGGTCATTGTCCTTGGCCTCTGGCCCTCGTAGAGTACACCAGCAGAAGGAACAGACCTTAGGAAGGCAAAGAGCCAACTCAGAAGCCCACACCCAGGGCACCCCACAGTGTCCCCAGGGCACAGCTGGACCTGCTGTCCCTACCCCCTCCCAGTGAGGTCACCCCAGGAAGTCTATGCTTAGTACATCCAGGACCTGCTGCTGGGGCCAGGCCCTGGTGCTGTGCTCAAGGGCTCACCCCATCTCCAGGGTACAGGTTGGGTGAGGATGCCACCCAGGCTGCAGGAAGGGATAGGCTGCAGCATGGCCTGACAGCCTATGTGATGCTCCAAATGGCCTGTGTCCCCCAAAACCAATCTGCAGCATCCAAGCCACTTCAGAGACTCAGGGCAGCCGTGAGAACATGCGACCCACCCACCCAGGCTATACTGTGGGCAGGGAGCAGTTCTTGAGCCCTGGATGCCCCTGGCTCCTGGAGAAATCAACTTACTCTGCCCATGCACCTGGAGTCTCTTCCACAACCTAGAAGAGAAAGGGGTTTCTTAGCGGACGGGGAAGGGCCCATGCGGCGCTCCTCCTTAGAGGGCAGTGTTGGGCAGGGGCGGGCTGGGGGCTAGGGCACTGGACAAGGAGCCCCGGGCCTGGGATCCACATGAGGCCTTGCCAACTCAGGAACTCCCTCAGGACAGGGAGTATAAGGGGAGGTGGAGTGAAAACATGTGGACAATCTCTGTGTTCTGCTGTGTTCTGCTCTGACCAAAGCTAAATAAATCCCCTGACCGCTTCTCGTCCTGAACCTTGTCACCCAGTTGAGGAGCTGACTGCCCCCTGCCTGGCTGGGCCTGAACATGGGAGGAAGTGGCCCTGCCCTCTCAGACTTGACGGGGAGATGAGGGGACCCCAGCCCTGGGAGAGGGACTGATGAAACCAAGGTCCTGGGCGGTGCACAGGAAGGGGAGATGCGGGGTGATCACAAGGAGGAAGATAGAGCCGGGATGGAGACGCCAGGATGGAGACACCAGGACTTGGGGCAGAGGTGGGCGATTCTGTGTGTGGGAACAGGAGGAGGCAGGGCGGAGAGTGCCCAGCATCCCTGTCCTCAGCCAGCACCTACCTGAGCGGATGTAACAATAGATAAGCAGTATGGCCACAATCAGAAGGAACACAACCACAGCACTCGCAAGTGAAATCTCCAACACAAGTCCATTGTCTGAGAAAAGACAGGAAAAGACAGGAGTCCCCAGGCTGGCGGTCACTGTCTCCTCCGCAGCTGGGGCTTCCCCAGTGGGCTTTGTACCTGATTTTTCTTCACACTTGATGTCACTCTCTGGCGTACAATTACTGACTGGAACCTTCCCACTGGGGCACCTGGGTACACACAAGAAGGGAGCAAATTACTCTTGGCCCTTAAAACCCAAGTAGGAAAAGGACAGGTCTTACTGAGAAATCAGGGACCAGGGGTGACGCCAGCTGGGTTGGCTCAGGTCCTCATGGGAACTTAAGGGAGCTCCACCCACGGCCTTATTACGCCTTTTGTGGGCTGTGGGCATTTCTGTCTTCTTGCATTAAAAGCAAATATTAAAAATTACATTTTAGGACTCAATTAGTTTAAGTATAAATACAACCCTGGCTGGATTCTATGTCAATATTTTCTTAGGATTTCAAGATAAAATATTTCCTGCACCTCTCTGATGGGTTCTTAAGTCACAGCCTCCTGAGACCAGTGAACAAGTCAGCCTGGCCAAGGGGACTTGTGCTGGAGAGGAAGGAGGGGGCCACTGCAGAAGGCAGGGGTGGGGACAGTCAGACGGACCAGGAGGGGCCACTGCAGAAGTCAGGGGTGGGGACAGTCAGACGGACCAGGAGGGGCCACTGCAGAAGGCAGGGGTGGGGACAGTCAGATGGACCAGGAGGGGCCACTGCAGAAGGCAGGGGTGGGGACAGTCAGATGGACCAGGAGTGGCCACTGCAGGCTCAGAAGACCTTCACATGGTCAGGGACGCCCCATGGGAGAGGAGGCACCATGGGGTCTGGGAGAGATACAGGCACAAGGAGACTCAGGTCTTCTCAAGGTTCCTGGTTTCTGGGGGGTTCCTTGGGGCTGCTGTCTCACCGTGTTCTGCATGTACGACATATCTCGGTGGAATCTTCTTCCCGGAAGGTGCCTCGCTTGCACTGACACACTCTGTTCCTGGTCCCGGTGCAGGGACTTAGCTCTTCTTCATCTGATGACAGAGCACAAGGCTTTGGGAATGTGTTTCCCTGATGTGTCCCTCCACCCTTCCTCACCACCCCGACCCCCGCCCACTCAGCTCAGCTCAACTTGGTTCACCAAGGAGTTCTGAGGGCCAGTTCTCCACCAGCACACTTGGGGCTCATACAGGACACCCACCCTTCGGCTGTCACCAATACTCAGAGTAATAAAAAGGACCACAATTCATTATTTATTACATCAGATTAGGGGAAAAGCACCATTCAGATCACATGGTCCATAGCAAAAAAGGCGCAGGGTCATTTGAGAGACTTTGCAAGGAGAGGAGCCCTCGGGCGACTTCCCAAAAACCCAGCCTGCTGGGGAGGAGAAAGGGGCCTGAGAACCCAAAGACTGAGTGAGGCTGAGCACCTGCCAGGAGCACAGAGCCTGGGGAGAGAGCCTGGCCCCGGAGCAGACCCGCGCCACCTCTGACACCCAGCCCTATCCACTCGGCCAGGCCTTCTCTGTGCTATAATGATGCCCTCACCCTCTTGCAGCTGACAGTTTGCACTATCAGGTGGCATGCATTATAAATACGATTTCTTTCTGTTTTATTTTATCAACCGAAGTCATAATCATGGAACAGGGTATGATGAAGACCAGGCTGGGCTGGAACTTGGTTCCCTGACTCACATCGGCTACAACTCCAACCTCATCGCCCCACCCTTACCTCTGGGCAAGGGGTCCACACATTCTGTACCTGATTTACAAACTCTGCATGGGCAGCAAAAAGATAAGTTGATGGAATCATTGGTGTAGCCTCCACCAGCTATGTTCTGGTTACAATTTCCACCGTGTTCTGATTGATAAGATTCTGGGAGGGGAGAGAAAAGCCAGTGAATGAATTGCCACAGAGATTCCAAAGGCTAGTGGTGGTGGCTGGGATACTCTTCTTTTGGCCACAGGGAAATCCCCTCTTCTCGGCTTGATCTTGTCATCAATTCTGCATCTATTACACATGTCTGACTGGCAAAGCTGACAGAAATAGAATACAAGCTACATACCTAATTCAAATTCTGTGAGAGCCATATTAAAATAAGTAAAAAATAAGTTTAAAAAAGTAAAATAGATAAAAAAAGAAGTCAAATTAATTTTAACAATGTATTTTTTGAACCTAAAATATCTAAAACATTAGCTTTTTTTTTTTTTTTTTTTTTTTTTTTTTGAGATGGAGTTTCGCTCTTGTTGCCCAGGCTGGAGTGCAATGGCATGATCTCGGCTCACTGCAACCTCCACCTCCTGGGTTCAGGCAATTATCCTGCCTCAGCCTCCTGAGTAGCTGGGATTACAGGCACACGTCACCATGCCCAGCTAATTTTTGTATTTTTAGTAGAGACGGGGTTTCACCATGTTGACCAGGATGGTCTCGATCTCTTGACCTCGTGATCCACCCACCTCGGCCTCCCAAAGTGTTGGGATTACAGGCGTGAGCCAGTGCGCCTGGTCTTTTTTTTTTTTTTTTTTTTTTTTTTTTTTAACAGAGTCTCACTCTGTTGCTGCCCAGGCTGGAGTGCAGTGGTATGATCTCGGCTCACAACAACCTCCACTTCCCAGGTTCAAGTGATTCTCCTGCCTCAGCCTCCTGAGTAGCTGGGACTATAGGCACGTGCCACCACGCCTGGCTAATTTTTGTATTTTTAGTAGAGATGGGGTTTCACTATGTTGGCCAGGCTAGGTCTCGAACTCCTGACCTTAGGTGATCTACCTGCCTCTGCCTCCCAAGATGCTGGGACCACAGGAGTGAGCCACCTCACCCAGCCAACATTAGCGTTTCAACATGTAAACAAGATAAAACGTTGAGATATTTTCTTTTATTTTGAATATTAAGTCTTTGAAACCCAGAGTGTATTTTTCACTCACTGCACATCTCAATTCAGAGTCTCTGTGTTTGAAGTGATTAATGGCCACATGGGCCTAGAGACCAGGGCAATGGGCTCTTCCACCCAGGTCCCCGGAAACTTACAAAAAGTCATAATGTTGGGAGGCCGAGACAGGTGGATCATGAGGTCAAGAGATCAAGACCATCCTGTTCAATATGGTGAAACCTCGTCTCTACTAAAAATACAAAAATTAGCTGGGCATGGTGGCGTATGCCTGTAGTCCCAGCTTCTTGGGAAGCTAAGGCAGGATAATTGCTTCAACCCAGGAGGCGGAGGTTGCGGTGAGCCGAGATCACGCCATTGTACTCCTGCCTGGGTAACAAGAGCGAAACTCCGTCTCAAAAAAAAAAAAAAAAAGTCATAATGCCTGTCCTCAGTGAGCTCATGGTTAGCAGAAGGCACAAACAGGCACAGAAGCAATACCACAATGAGGGGAAGGCTTCAGATATAGCCCATGCCACCTGCCATGGGAGGAAAATGGAAGGAAAAATGGGTCCTCCCTGTACAGAGTCAAAGAATGATCCATAGAAAGGGGGCCTATGGGCTGGGCATAGTAGCTCATGTCTGTAATCCCAGCACTTTGGGAGGCCGAAGTGGGCAGATCACAAGGTCAGGAGTTCAAGACCAATCTGGCCAACATAGTGAAACCCTGTTTCTACTAAATATACAAAAAATTAGCCAGGTATGGTGGCAGGGGACTGTAATCCAAGCTACTCGGGAGGCTGAGGCAGGAGAATAGTGTGAACCCATCGGGGCAGAGGTTGCAGTGAGCCGAGATCGTGCTATTGCACTTCAGCCTGGGTGACAGTGTGAGACTTTGTCTCTAAAAAAAAAAAGAAAAGAAAGGGGGCCTACTTCGTGCTCCCCTGGATTGCAGAGGGTCTCCAGGCACTAAGGTGACAGCTGCAGGAGCCATCGCCAGCAGGAGCCCATGTCCGGAGGGTCGACCATCACCTCCAGGGCTTTGCCCCTTCAGGTGACCTCACTCTCCCCTTTCAATGCTGTCTATTTATCCCCCTCCACTAATTCATATTTATTAATACTGAAAGATACTCTTAGAAACCCAAACTGTGAAAAAAAAACTTCCTTGATAATGTGTTATGACAATAATACGACCAATGATAAAAAATGTGATTATTCAGTGATAGTGTGGGGGCAACTAAGGTTACTGCTGAAAAAGCATAAAGCTTCTTGCTTATGCTCTCCCTATAAGGAAATAAAGACTAGGTGTATCAAGGTGTCAACTGCAAAGTACGAAACCACACAAGTACTACATGAAAAATTTTTCTTCCAGGATTGGAGAGGGAAACGACCTTCTCAATCTCACAGGAAATTAAAAAGTTGCCTAAAGTAGGGCTAGGCACGGTCACTCACACCTCTAATCCCAGCACTTTGGGAGGCCAAGGTGGGTAGATCACCTGAGTTTGGGAGTTCAAGACCAGCACGACCAAGATGGAGAAGCCTCGTCTCTGCTAACAGCACAAAATTAGCTGGGCGTGGTGGCGCATGCCTGTAATCCCAGCTACTCGGGAGGCTGAGACAGGGGAATTGCTTGAACCCGGGAGGTGGAGGTTGTGGTGAGCCAAGATTGAGCCATTGTACTCCAGCCTGGGTGACAAGAGTGAAACTATGTCTCCAAAAAAAAAAAAAAAAGTTGCATAAAGTTAACTATATAAAAATTAGGAACAAAACTGCATGGAAGAAATCATGACTAAGATAAAAACAAACTAGGAGGAAATAACGAAATACAAACCACACTTAAAAGCATAGTTTCCTTAAACTATAGGAATTCATACAAAAAAATTCTAGAAAGAAGAAATCATGACTAAGATGAAAACAAACTAGGAGGAAATAATGAAATACAAACCACACTTAAAAGCATAGTTTCCTTAAACTATAGGAATTCATACAAAAAAACTCTAGAAAGAAGAAATCATGACTAAGATAACAAACTAGGAGGAAATAATTGAAATACAAACCACACTTTAAAAGCATAGTTTCCGGCCAGGCACGGTGGCTCATGCCTGTAATCCCAGCATTCTGGGAAGCCGAGGCGGGTGGATCACGAGGTCAAGAGATCGAGACCATCCTGGTCAACATGGTGAAACCCCGTCTCTACTAAAAACACAAAAAATTAGCTGGACATGGTGGCACGTGCCTGTAATCCCAGCTACTCAGGAGGCTGAGGCAGGAGAATTGCCTGAGCCCAGGAGGTGGAGGTTGCAGTGAGCCGAGATCGCGCCATTGCACTCCAGCCTGGGTAACAAGAGCGAAACTCCGTCTCAAAAAAAAAAAAAAAAAAAAAAAAAAAAGCATAGTTTCCTTAAACTATAGGAATTCATACAAAAAAAATCTAGAAAGAACATCAGCAAGAAAGTAGTAGACTTGAACAACACATTAGCAACTAGACTGGACAGACCTCTATAAAATGCTCTACTCAATCAAAACAAGATATATATTCTTTTAAAGTGCACACAGAACATTCTCCAGAATAGGCCATAAGCTCAGCCATATCATAAACCTCAATACACATAAAGGATAGAAATAATCCAAAGTATTCACTCCTACCACAATGGAATAAATTTAGAAATATATAGCAGGAAAAAAGTGGAGAACCTCACAGCTATATAAAAATTAAATAGCTCACTCCTTTTTTTTTTTTTTTTTTTTTTTTTTTTCTTTTTTGAGGCAGTTTCGTTCTTGTTGCCCAGGCTGGAGTGCAATAGTGCAATCTCAGCTCACTGCAACCTCTGTCTCCAAGGTTCAAGCGATTCTCCTGCTTCAGCCTCCCAAGTTGCTAGGATTACGAGCATGTGCCACCACACCCGGCTAATTTTGTATTTTTAGTAGAGACGGGGTTTCTCCATGTTGGTCCGACTGGTCTCAAACTCCCAACCTCAGATGATCCACCTGCCTCAGTCTCTCAAAGTGCTAGGATTACAGGTGTGAGCCATTACGCCCGGCCATAGCACACTCCTGAATAACCAATTGGTCCAAGAAGAAATCAAGAGATATCAGAAAATAAGATGAAAATGAAGACACAACATACCAAACCTATGGGATACAACTAACGTAGCTGAAGTTTAGAGAGAAATTGATAGCTGTAAATGCCTATTTAGGAAGAAGAAATATCTCGATCTATAACCTAATAATCCATTCTAAGACACTGTAAAAAGAAGAGCAAACTATAGATAAAGCAAGCAGAAGGAAGAAAACAATACAGGTTAGAGCAGAAATTAATGAGACAGAGAATAGAAAAACAACAGAGTAAATTAATGAATCCAAAATTTAGTTCTTTGAATAGATTGATATATTGGCACAGGAATTTGAGCTAAAAAACTAACACAGGGAAAAAATAAGAAGACTCAAATTATAGCCATGCATTGCATGACGACGTTTTGGTCAACAAGGAACCACCTATGTGGTTCCCATAACATTGGTGGTCCCATAATATTATGATGGAGCAGAAAAATCCCTATTGCTTAGTAGCGTCATAACTCTATGCATTGCTCAGGAGAAATTCAAGCTGACTGCAGAAATTTGCATAAGTAATGAGGAGCTGAATGTTAATCCCCAAGACAATGGGGAAAATGTCTCTAGAGCACGTCAGAGGTCTTCATGGCAGCCCCTCCTATCACAGGCCTGGAGGCCTAGGAAGAAAATGGTTTCCTGGTATAGGTTCACGGTCCTGTATTGTATGCAGTCTAGGGACTTGGCGTCCTATATCCCAGCCACTCCAGCTGTGAAAACAAGGGGCCACGGTACAGCCTGGGCTGTTGCTTCAGAGGGTGGAAGCCCCAGGTCTTGGCAGCCTCCATGTGCTGTTGAATCTGTGAGTCTACAAAAGTCAAGAACTGAGGTTAGGGAACTTCCACCTAGATTTCAGAAGAGGTATGGAAACACTTGGATGCCCAGGTAAGTTTGCTGCCCAGGCAGGGCCCTCCTGGAGAATGAAGGGAAGGGAAATGTGGCATCCAAGCCCCAATATGGAGTCCTACTGGGGAGCGGCCTAGTGAGCTGTGAGAAAAGGGCCATCATCCTTCAGACCCCAGAATGGTAGAAGCACCAATAGTTTAACCATGCACCTAGAAAAGCTGCAGACAGACACTCAGCACCAGCACATGAAAGCAGCCAAGAGGAGGGAGGGGGGCGATACCTTGCAACGCCACAGGGGCAGAGCTGCCCAAGACCGTAGGAACCCACCTCTTATATCAAGGAGACCTGGATGTAAGACATAGCGTCAAACGAGATCATTTTGGAGCTTTAAGACTTGACTGCCCTGCTGAATTTCAAACTTGCACAGAGCCTGTCGCCCCTTCGTTTTGGCCAATGTCTCCCATTTGGAATGGCTATATTTACTCAATGCCTCTACCCCCCATTGTATCTAAGAAGTAACTAACTTGCTTTTGATTTTACAGGCTCATAGGCAGAAGGGACTTGCCTTGTCAGAAGATACCTTGGACTATGAACTTTTGTGTTAATGCTGAAATGAATTAAGACTTTGAGTGACTGTTGGGAAGGTATGATTCGTCTTAAAATGTGAGAACATGACATTTGGGATTAGCCAGGGGTAGAATAATATGGTTTGGCTGTATCCCCACCCAAATTTCATCTTGAATTCCCATGTGTTGTGGGAGGGACCTGTTGGGAGGTAATTGAGTCGTTAGGGCACATCTTTCCCATGCTGTTCTCATGATAGCGAGTAAGTCTCATGATACCTGATGGTTATTATAAGGGGTACTTTTCCTGTGCAAGCTCCTTCCTTGCTGCCATCCATGTAAGATGTGACTTGCTCCTCCTTGCCTCCTGTCATGATTGTGAGCTTCCCCAGCCAACGGCACTGTAAGTCCAATTTGGCCTCTTTCTTTTGTAAATTTCCAGGCTTAGGTATGTCTTTATCAGCCCAGTATAAAGGGACTAATACAATTACCTTAATATTAAGACCAGAAAAGGAATTCACAAAGAAAGAAAACTACAGACTAATAATTCTTATGAATATGGATGCTGCAACAAAATACTAGCAAGTTGAATCCAAAAGCATATAAAAAGAATTATATACCAGGACCAAATGAGTTTTATCCTAGAAGTACAAGGTTTGTTTCAACATCCCAAAATAAATTGATGTAACAAATTATATCAATAGAATAAAAAGCCAAAGAAACAGGATTATCTCAAAAACAGAGAAAGCATTTTACTAAGACCAACACTCTTTCATGATAAAAATCACAAAATAAAAGTGAACTTCTTCAACCTGATAAAGAATATCTACAAAAACTCACAGCTAACATTATATTTAAGGGCGAACAACTGAAAGATTTTCTCAAAAAAGATATCTGTTGTCACTGCTTTTATTCAATATTGCTACTGGAGGCTCTAACTAGGACAATTAGGTAAGTAAAAGAAATAAAAAGGATCCTTAGCTGGGCATGGTGGCTCATGCCTCTAATCCTAGCACTTTGGGAGTCTGTGGTGGGCAGATCACGAGGTCAATAGATTGAGATGATCCTGGCCAACATGGTGAAATCCTATCTCTACTAAAATACAAAAAAGTAGCCAGGCATTGTGGGATGTGCCTGCAGTTCCAGCTACTGAGGAGGCTGAGGCAGGGAAATTGCTTGAACCCAGGAGGTGGAGGTTGCAGTGAGCTGAGATCATGCCAGTGCACTCCAGCCTGGTGACAGAGCCATACTTTGTCTCAAAGTCAAAAAAAAAAACAAAACCAAAAAAAGCATCCAGATTGGAAAGGAAAAAGTAAAACTTTATTTGATTTGCAAATTATATACTATATAGGGAAAATCCTAAGGAAGCCATGATAAACGCATTAAGAATAATAAACAAGTTGTGCAAGTTTATAGAATACAAGATCAGTGAACAAAAATCAATTATACTTGTATACACTGACAATGAATCCTAAAATGAAATTAAGAAAAGGTTTTATCCACTTTAGCATAAAAAATATTAAATATCTGGGAGTAAGTTTAACAAAATCAACCCAAAATCTATAGTCTGCAAACTACAAAGCATTATTTTAAAAATTAGAGATATGGCTGGGCGCGGTGGCTCAAGCCTGTAATCCCAGCACTTTGGGAGGCCGAGGCGGGTGGATCACGAGGTCGAGAGATCAAGACCAACCTGGTCAACATGGTGAAACCCCGTCTCTACTAAAAATACAAAAAATTAGCTGGGCATGGTGGTGCGTGCCTGTAATCCCAGCTACTCAGGAGGCTGAGACAGGAGAATTGCCTGAACCCAGGAGGCGGAGGTTGCGGTGAGCCGAGATCACGCCATTGCACCCCAGCCTGGGTAACAAGAGCGAAACTCCGTCTCAAAAAAAAATAAATAAATAAAAATAAAAATAAAAATTAGAGATAATCTAAATTTGAAAAATGTTAAAAAAGTAAACTCATGCTTTGGATCAAAAGACTTCTCATTGTTAAGATGCCAGTGACCTCTACACTGAGCTACAGGTTCAGCATAATCCCTGTGAGAAACTCAGCTGATTTTAGAAACTGGCAAGCTGCTCCTAAAATTCATATGAAATTGCAAAAGACCCAGTATGAACAAAATAATTCTGGAAAAGGAAAAAAAAAGGAAGATTCATATTTCCTGATGTCAAAACTCACTATAACACAGTGTGGCACTGGTAAAAGGACAGATATACATCAGTGGAAAATAACTGAGAGTCCAACAATAAACCATAAAAAGTTTTTATGGTCAACTGGTTTTTGAAAAGGATGCCAAGACCATTGGGGAAAAAAAAAATCATTTCAACAAATGGCAACTGGATAGCCACATGCAAAAGAATGAAGTTGGACTCTTATTTGACACCATTTACAAAAATTAATTGAAAATGCATCAAGAGTTAAAATGCAAAACTCTTAGGAGAAAACATGGAGATCAAGCTTCATAACTTTGGATTTGGCAAAGGATCAGTAAGTATCTGCTGAATAGAAGAACCAGAAACTGCAGGAAACAGAAAACTGGAACAACATGGAAAAGGAATGTCATTGATGAATTTAGAGATAATTTTTGTATATGGTAAGGAAAAGGAAGGTGTAAAGGATTAGAAATCAGTCTTAGAAAGTACCTGGTGGACACACGTCGTCTCCCAGAGGGCTATGTTTCTGTGGCTTTGAGGCAAGTAATTGATCATCATTGTTGATGGTTTCAGCTGAGGCAGGTACAGCCTGTGGGGGCAAAGCAGGGACTGGCATGAGTGGCTTTCAGATCTCACCCTTTACAAGATTAATCTCATATTCCATTCCCCCAGCCTCCAAAACTAGACAGAATTTTCAACTTTCTCCCAGTTCTAAAATTCAACCATTTGTTTGTACTCATATTTGTCCCTTTGCCCCCATCCCCCTGCCCGAGCCCTTGGCAACTACCATTCTACTGTCTGTTTCTATGAATTTGACTACTCTAGGTACTTCATATACATGGAAACACACAGTATCTTATTTTTTTCTTGAAACTGTCATATTTCACTTAGTATAGTATCATCATGATCCATCCATTTGGTACCATGCTTTGGAATTTCCTTCCTTTCCATTGTGTGTGTGTGTGTGTGTGTGTGTGTGTGTGTGTGTGTGTGTGTATCATATTTTGTTTATCCATTCATCTGTCAATGGACATTTGGATTGTGTCCACAATTTGGCTATTGTGAACAACGCTGGTATGAACATGGGTGTACAAAATCTCTTTGAGCCCCTTCTTTCAGTTCTTTTGTATATATACCCCAAGGTAAGGGGTTTATATTGCTGTTTTCTTCCAAGAGTTGTATAATTCTTGTAGGTCTTACATTTAGGCCACATATGAAAAGCCAACAGCTAGCATCCTACTTAACAGTGAAAGACTAAAGATTTTTTCTCCAAGATCAGGAACAAGACACGGAGGCCTCCTTTTGTCACTTCTATGGTATCAGGGTAATGCAAGGCCCACAGAAAGAGTTAGAAAGAGTTCCATTCCCTCCAACTCAATTTCTTGGAAGAGTTTGAGAATTAGTAGACGTCATCATTAAAGAAGTGTTTCCTCCTTCTTTATGTCCTGAAACAATTTGTCTACTGTTGGTGTTATTCCTTCCAAAAACACTTATAGAATTCATCAGTGAAATGACATGGGACTGCAGTGTTCATCATTGTGAGCACTTAACAATGAATTCCACTGGGGATGGTGGCTCACACCTGTAATCCCAGCACTTTGAGAGGCTGAGGCGGGCAGATCACCTGAGGACAGGAGTTCGAGACCAGCCTGACCAACAGGGTGAAATCTGATGTCTACTAAAAATATAAAAAATCAGTCAGGTGTGGTGGTGGGTACCTGTAATCCCAGCTACTCGGGAGGGAGGCTGAGGCATGAGAATTACCTGAACCTGGGAGGCGCAGGTTGCAGTGAGCCAAAGGTCACACCACGGCACTCCAGCCTGGGTGACAGAGCGAGACTCCATTTCAAAATAAATAAATAAACAATAAACTCCAATTCATAGACACTTTAGGAATATTTAAATTAGCTTTACCCCTTGTGGCTATTTTGCTGAGTTGTGTTTTACAAGAAATTTTTCTGTTTAATCTAAGTTGTCAAACTGATTGGCATTAAGATATTCACGAGATCCCACTGTTACCCTTTTACTAGCTGTAGAGTTTGTAATAATATCCCATCATTAATTCTTGATATTGGTATTTCATGCTGTTCTTTTTTTCTTTTGAACTTTGATTTATTACTTTTATTAATTTTGTTGACCATTTCTGAGAACCAACTCTTGGCTTATTGATTCCTTTTATTGTTTGAATTCTGTTTCATTGATTTCACTCTTATTATTTCCTTGTCATCTTGTTACTGCTTTTGAGTTTAATTGATGACTTTTTTTTTTTTTTTTTTTTTTTTTGAGACGGAGTCTTGCTCTATTACTAGGCTGGAATGCAGTGGTGTGATTCCAGCTCACTGCAACTTTCATTTTCTGGTTTTAAGCAATTCTCCTGGCTCAGCCTCCTGAGTAGCTGGGACTACAGACATGCATCACCATGCCTGGCTAATTTTTTTTTTTTTTTTTTTTTTTTTTTTTTGTAGTAGAGATGGAGTTTCATCACGTTGGCCAGGATGGTCTTGATCTCTTGCCCTCATGATCTGCCCACCTCAGCCTCCCAAAGTGCTGGGATTACAGGCGTGAGCCACCGTGCCTGGCCAATTGACACTTATTTTATGGGTAAATAATGCAGACCTCTGAGTCTGTTACCATTCTTCTTTTAATCTTAAAGCACTTTACTAAGATATACTTTATATATATAATTATTTCCTTTAAATAGACTTATAGAAGTGTATAACCAGCAGTAAAAATTAATTTTTGAATATTTTCATCACCCAAAAAGAAAATCCATGCCCATTAGCAGTCACTCCTTGTTTTCCCCAACTCCCAATTCTTCTTACAGAAGCCGTGAGAGCTGTGCATGTCATTCTAAGCACTGGCTTAGTGGCTTCCCACACATTTCCACATACTATATAATTATCATCATCTATTTTGAAATATTTTGAAATCTCTTTTGACTTCATCCATGAACTATGAATTATTTATAAGTATGTTGCTTAATATTCACCTATGAGGACTCTTTCTAGATATTGTCATTGCAACAATTTAATTTCATTGAGATCAGAGAACATATTTTATATAATTTTCTTCATTTTAAATGTTTTTAGATTTGTTTTATAGCTCACAATGTGGTCTATCTTGGTGGAAGTACTATGTTCATAGAAAAGAATGAATCTCCTGTAGATGTTGCAGGTGTGCTCTATAAATGTCAGTTAAGTCAAGGTGGTTGACAGTGTTCAGATCTTTTATTTTACGGTTTTCATCTGATCGTTCTAAGCAGTTGTTGAGAAGGGGGTGACATGATCCCCCTTTAGTCCTTTTGAGTGTTGCTTCATGTATTTTAAACCTCTACTAAAACACATATACACATTTATGATTATTATATCTTCTGATGAATTCACTTTTAACACTAAAAATAGTGCATTAAAAAAAATATCTGCTAATAGCAAATGAAAACCTGACAACGAGCTCCTGGTGACTCTGAATCTCGGCAGTTCTCAGCATTCTGTTCAGCTGCTCTTCCCACCTCTCACATAAAACACAGTGCAGGCTTCCTAGAACCCGTGTTACTCATTCACCCAAGTCAGTGCCCGGTGACCACTCTGCAAGGAATCCTGGAGTATCAGGGGCAGGCACGACCCTCTCTTTCCTTAGGACAGTTCCAGTTCACAGGGAGATGAGGCACAGCCATCACTAACCCCAAAGTCCATGAAGGTGCAAAGAGTCATGAGGGGCTGCCTAGGCAGAGGTGACAAATGCCATTAGTGGTAGGGACACTGGTGGACATAGAGGAAAAAGTCCACACAGACAGGTTCCCAGGCAGATAGGAAGTCAAAGCAGTCGGGGGTGGGGAGGAGTAACAAGAAGTGAGGTTGGGACCCAGCTCTGCAGTTTGTGGGCGTCTCTGATTGAGGGAGATGGAAGGTGCGGTCAGAGAAGTGAGGTTCTCAGTTCACTCATGGGGGTGTGAGGTGGGGTGTGTGTGTGTGTGTGTGTGTGGGTGTGGGTGTATGTTTGTTTAAGAGAGCGAGAGAGACAGGTCTTGTTCCAGGTCTTCTCCTCCATAGCCTCTCCTGACCCTGCCTCTTCCTGAGCTGAGTCATTAATCACAGGGTTTCCTTGCCTTGTGTTTTACAGCCAAGTTTGTCATGCACACTGTGGTCTCTTCTCTCAAGCATACATACCTTAAAAAATGCCTTGATCTTAAAATGAGTAACTCAGACTTGTTCTGAAAGTTGTCCTGTGGTCGGAAATCTGCTTCCCCTGAGCCTTTTGTGGCTTTTTACTTTGTTTCTTTGTTCTTTTAGTATGAAAAGACCCCTGGCTTAAGAAGCAAGCCATCTGTCAAAGTCTCGGGCCAGCCTCATGGTTCAGGGGAAGCCACTTCTTTTCTAAACATGTCTATCATTCTTGAAATAAGAGGTGGCCTTACATGACTTCTCAGGGACCCCCAGCTGTGATCCAGCCCTAGGTGAGTGCAGGCCTCAAGAACAAGCACCAAATACCTGCCTGGGACAGACCAGCACAACCCAGTGACTCAATCACTGCTGCTGCCCCGAGGGTCGCTCGTCCCCCTGCCCAGCCCCTCCACTGAACGAATGTTCTGCGTCTCCTGCTGCTCATCTAAAGTGAAGACAACGAGAACTCCTGTGCAGTCTGGCTGTGTCAGGATTCCGTGCGTTCACAGGTGTATGGAGTTCTGAGAACAGACTTGGCACGTGCAAGTAATATATTTCAGCACACGCTGTTGTTAGTACAAACATTACCCTCAATGTGGATTTTAATCAAACCACATCTTAAAGCCAACAATACCGTGACCTGAGGACTTGTAACTCCACAGCCTCCCTCTGCCAGAGTCAAGTAGGGAGATGGTATCCCTGTGTAACATAGCTAGCCTAAAGTTAGAACCTGAGCAATGCCATTTTATAAAAGACAAAACTGTTTTTAAAGTAAGTTGTAAAGGCTGCCCCATTCTCCTCACAATAACTGCGGGCCTTGGCCTCTGTAAATATAACTGCTAGTTTACTTTGCAAAATGCAAAAAGGTAAAGCCGCTTATCAGTGACTGCCAGAGTTGCTAGTCTTTGCTTACCGGTAATAACCAGAATAAGCATCCCCATCTAATTCCATCCTGGCTCCTGCCGCTTGTAATAAGTGACTAAGATCTGTTATTTCTACCTTAACTCAGACAATGTGCAAACTAACGCTTATCTTGACTTCTGTAAGCCACTTAGGTAACAATCGAAGTGACAGCAAGTCCTCTAGCCCTCGGAATGTCCAGAGATCCATACCCTCCTCCCTGCCTGGGAAGTGATTTACGGAATCCCCTGGCCCTCAGATTGTCTGAATCCCTTCACCTCCACCCCCACCCCACTCTCACCCCCAAAGGTGGGCATAAAAAGGTCTTGTCACCCTCCTTTCGATGCCACGGTTGGAGAGACGCGAGTCCTCCGTGGCTGCCAGCACAATAAACCCTGTAATTTGGCATACTTTGGTCTTGGTGTTGACTTTCTATGCTCGGTCCAGTACAACACCTGGAGCCGGCACAGCCTCTCTGGAGGTGGGGGAGGTGAGGCAGGTGGGGGAGGTGAGGCAGGTGGGGGAGGTG